TGAGCGGTTCGCGGATCCGCGTTCCAATTACGACTTTCACGTTCGCAGATGGTTACCTTCCCAGCTCGTCTGTTCGTCGCAGTATCCTGGAAGTATAAAACGGCTGATGCAATGTAGAATGTCGAGTAGAGGCTGCAAGGTGTAGAGACTGATAGGTCTGCCTTCGGCTCCGTTGTGTCGTCCAGGAGGTAGGTACCCGATGGGAAGGCCTGTCACTTTCGCTGGCGGTTGCGGGTGTGGTACTGCATCTGACGTGGCCGGATTTTTTTTTATTGCTTGTACGCGTGGTGCTCGACACCTATTGTTTAGGGGGAATTTGTGGAATGGATGGAATTTCTATTCTGTCTGTCTGCTTTATTTCGCCGCTTTTATGTGGATGTATCGGAGGGATGTCGCTGAGGACTGGACTTTGCCCGGCGAGTGTTGCTATGTAGGCCCAGCCCCCGCTTTACTTGAATAGTGGGGGGGGGGGGCTCGTCGTGTTTATGTGTATGTGATGGAGTACAGGCCTACAGCAGCTTCCTTTGTTTATGAATGAGGAAGTATGACACGGAAGTCGCGTGATTTGTCGTAAGGAGAGGAGAAACGTGGTGGTTTTTAGACGGAGTTCGGTTCGAAACCGAACTATTTTCGGCAAGTTTTAATGCTCTCTACGGTCCATCGATTGCCGAGAGGCAATCGCTAGAAGTTAGCAGATGGTGCCGACGACTTTCGTTTAAAGTAGGCCGATAGTTGGATTGAGCTTGCCCAACTTCGTTTCCTACTCGTGTGGAACGACGCCAGAAAACCTTGAACGGGATGACATTCGCAGTACTGCCAAATTTTCCGGCAATTACGCGTGGGTAGGGAATATATTGCATCACGAGGAGGAAGTCGCCACTTGGGGGGTTTTTCTCTCCGCCCCGTGCGAGGTCGGAGCGCCCTTGAACGGCGAGAAAAAAAAGGCGGAAGGAAGTAGAATGAGACAAAGAGTGCCAGAGGGAGATGGACTGGAATTATTTGCGGTCCTCGTTCTTCCTTCCTACTATGACTCACGGTTTTCTGTTCCACGCCTCATTGATTTCTCTGCCCTTGGTACAGTCGGTAGCTTGCCTGGCCGTTGCCGGACGGAATCCACCTGTACGGTCGGCACCGTGGGTTTCTTTTTTTATGCGCGGTGACGATGGTAAAGCAGGTTGAGCGGACGTGTGTGGTATCACGTCACTTTCTTCCTTGTCTTCAATTTTTTTTTTCTTATTCCTTTATCTTGAGGAGACCTTGCCAAGTGGGAGTTGGCACGAAGAGGAAGGGATCTAGTCTCCCCCTGTTGATCGGCTTTCGTTTCCGGGGTATATGCTTGATGGGAATATGAATGCGGAGGAGGCGGCCTCGAGGGGGAACGGTCCCTTTCCTCCCGAGTCATAACGGGTCTTCCGGAGTGGTTTCCCGTCTTTTTGAAGGCGGGTCCTCGGTTCGGTTTAGTTCGGAGGAGACTGTGTCGGGGCGAAGTGTTTCGTTGTGTGTCGGCTTGGTTGTAGGCGCGATGCTGAAATGTGAAGGGCGACGACCCGGTTCTCGAGGAGACCTTTCACTGACCGGGTAAAAGTGCTGATGCAGGCGGTCGAACCGCCGCTTCGACTGCGTGGGACTCCCCCTTCCCGTCGTCAGGGACGAATTGAGCAAGGCTCGAAAGAACCCGGGTCGAAGAACTTGCGTCGATTGCAACATCGGATTTCTCCCACTCCTTGTGTGGCTGAGGAGAGGTAAAGGGGGTCGATGCGTCGTTAAGGGGTTTTTTGAACCGGGGTGTTGCAATGTTGGCTCATTTTGTCATCCTCCGGCCCTAATTCGGAGGAAGACGAGATGCAAAAAAAAGCTCTCTTCAATGAGAGCGTGATCGAGATTTTTGTGGAACGGGGCCGGAATCCATGCAACCGCCCCTCCGCCCCCTTCACACGAAGTCCCAGCGGTGCGGAAGTGCGCCGGGGAGAGGGGAGGACAGGAGATTGGATGGCGGCCCTCCGTCTCCCCCCCTTTTCCCCCTCCCCCCTCTCCTTTTAGAAGCTTCTAGAAGCTTCCAGAACTCGTCCCTGCTCTTGCGCTTGGGGTTTTCTGAACTCTTTATCCGGTTTTTCACGGGCTCTTCCGAGTCCTTATCTCTTTGGAGTCCGTGTTTGAGGACGGGAGGGGTTTGTTACGTCACGGAGGGGGACACGTGTCGACTGGATGGGGATGATGAAACCATGCTTGGTTTCGTCCCGGCTTGAATCCCGGGTAGAGCGCAGTTCCCATGTGGCTTGCGGCAACTATCTTACCTGTTTGGTTTGGCTCTGTCCCTCGAGTTCAGAGGGTCCAAAGTTTGCAGTTCGTCGAATAGGGAGTCCCTTTCTGAGAAGGAAAACTCGTGTTATACGCCTTCATTCATTCATGCAGGAGTCGCACAAATTCTTGGTCCCTCCAGGTGAGGAATAGAATCTTTACCGAAACTCTCGACTGCAAAAACTAAGAGGGAAAGGGGGGTTGTGGGGATGATGAAACGCCATATCTATATTTCAAGGATATTTACTTAGGAAATATGAATTTTTCGACGTAGTTCGGTATTGAAGTATCTGTACTGACGCTTTTGCTTGCGCAAAGCAGAAGTTGCATTTGCACCTTTTTTTTTAACTACTCAATTACTTTTGTTTCCTATCCTTTGACTTCGGTTCGGTGAAATAACCTTTTAATATGAAGTCTCACTTCCGCGGCGTCGATAAGGCAAGGCGCTCGTGTCACCTTCGAAACGGGACAGTCATTGAGAATGATTGCCTTCGGTTATCGTCGGGTTATGATTCACACCAGAGTGAGTCACTTTTATCACTTATTGCTACCGGTGGTGAATCAGCCCGGCCATAAATTAAAATTGTTGGCTAAGTTTCCTGGCGTATCTGTGGCTTGGGAGGTATTTTTGGTCTTATCGGGGCAAAGCGTAGCTCGTTCGATACAAGAGTGGAGTGGGGAGGGGGGGGCATTGAGTCACTCCCGAGCGAATCGTCCTTGCCCTGGATAGGGTGATTCCGTGCGGACTCGCCAGGCTCCTCGAAGGACCAAGGACGCTGTCGTGGTTGTACGAGAGTGGGCTTTGATTGCTGGGTCTGATCGAGGCGCTTTCGATACGGGGATGGGGGCATGATTTAATATGCCTTCGTGTTGGGTGGGGTTTGGTTGGAATTTCTATTCTGTCTGTCTGCTTTATTTCGCCGCTTTTATGTGGATGTATCGGAGGGATGTCGCTGAGGACTGGACTTTGCCCGGCGAGTGTTGCTATGTAGGCCCAGCCCCCGCTTTACTTGTGTGGTTGTACGAGAGTGGGCTTTGATTGCTGGGTCTGATCGAGGCGCTTTCGATACGGGGATGGGGGCATGATTTAATATGCCTTCGTGTTGGGTGGGGTTTGGTTGGGGGGAGGGAGGGGGAGAATAAATGGGTTAAGTGTATTCCCCTCCGTCAGGTCTTTTTCTGTCTTTTACAGTTTTCGTTGTTCGATGGTAAGCATCATGAAATGATGCATGGGTCGTACATCAAATTTGGCATACGGAAATGTGGGCTCGACAGACTTTTTTTGCGAAGGTTCGTGCCAAAAGTACTTTCTCGCGAAATTTAAAAGTGCATATTTTTTTGGAGGTCGGGATGGGGCGGAGAGAGGAATTGATGTTGGCAAGAATATCTGCCTCTTCTCCCGTGGCTCGTGCAACCGTCGGCCTTGCCACATCGTCTTTCAAATATGTTTAAACGACTAAATTTTATGGAGAAATGAAGTGTGGTGTCTGGTTTGGCGATGCGAATGCGTTAAGTGGGCGTCACCGCACACCACCCTTTCTCACTTTTTAAGCGTAGCGAGAGGCACAGAGGATTATGCAGAAAGTGTGAGACTGGGAAGGAATGCCGGGACTGGGAGGCTTTTGGCAAACCTGCCGGTTTTTTGACGAGGGAGACCTCGAAGCCCAAATCCTATGGGGGGGGGGGGGGGGGGGGGGNGGGGGGGGGGGGGGGGGGGGGGGGGGGGGGGGGGGGGGGGGGGGGGGGGGGGGGGGGGGAGGCTACGTGACTTAGGAAAGCGGGACTGGCTTCGCGGGGTCACGAAAGGAGAATACTAGAGGTCGAAGCCCCTTGTACACCTTGGGCTACATGGGAAGGAATCGATGAACGATGGATCGACTATGTTTTTAAAATGTCACTCCTTGGCTTGGTCGAGGAAGGCCGTCGAAAGTTTCCCAATAGCCGATGAGGTTGACGCGTCCCTTTTGCCCCTGGGCTACGGGGGAAAGAATGAAATATAGAAACTGGAAAAACAATGTCGCAAAAGGACCGAACGTGGGTCAGGAGGTGGGCGAGCCGGGAAGGTTGGTTGACGTCACGGGGTCAAGGAAGGGCATGGAAGGTTCCAGAATGATAAAGAGCTGGAACACCCTTGTACCTTCGGGCTACGGGGGGACGGAATGTATAAACAAGATGCTGGAGATGAACTGCTCGAAAAGCCCCTTGGGGGGTATAAGATGGGGAGATTCACTTTGCGGTGTCGATGCCGTAGAAGGTTCAAGAGTAAAGTGGGAGACGTGAACTGGTGACGTCACAGGTCGGCTAAGGATCGCAGAAGTCGGTCGGAAATTGCAGTTAATCGTTTAAGTGAGATGGACACGTTACCAGTTCTGAGATGCCGATCCTTACGGCTTCGAAGCAGATCACAATTTTGTGCTTGCGGAATGCTCCGGGCGTTCGGAGTTTTCAGATTCCCGGTTTCTCGGGATTTTTAGATTTGGTAAGCTCCTACCGGCTTGCTTTTCCACGAAATCTCGTCAGGTGTTAGCTAAGGCCTGCATCGGTTTCATCCGAAGTGAAAGTGGACCAGGAATGCCCGAGGAGGACGGACTCGCGGAGACTGGAATCCTTTCGAAACGATTACGATTGATGATTTACGACCCCCTGAGAGTCTGAGGAAAGGTGACGATTGCGAACGCGTTGTCTTTCCAGAAGACGAAGTGATGATTTCCGAGAGCCCGGTGGAGAAGCGGGGGTTGGGGGAGGACGAGGACCTCTCCCACGAAGACTTGAGTCGGTGCAACAGCGGAGACAGCGAGAAGGGAGGTGCGGGCGGGCGGGGAAGACGCCGGCGCCGGAAGAGGACTGGGTCGTCCATGTGCGTGACCAACTTCCACGACGCCTATCGGCTGACGGGGGAGATCCTCGGCGAGGGTGCCTACGCCTCCGTCCAGTCCTGCGTCTCCCAGCTGTCCGGACAGGAGTATGCAGTCAAGGTCGGTGTTTTTTTCTTTTGTTTCGTATCGAATAGTCTCGAGTCTAAGAAAGGAGGACCCGGCGGAAGAGTCGGGGGGGCTTCAACATCCCGCCACGTAAACGTGGCAGACGCGTCACGGTAGTGAACGCACCTGGGAGAAGCTGAATCGATGGGGTGGGGAGGGGGGGGGGGAGAAACGTCGACATCTGGCATGATTCAAAATTTAGTTGTTGCCGTTTGGGGGAAAACAGGAGAAAATTTATGACATTGACTCCATGAGTATTGCCAGGGATATGTTGTACTTTGAGTCAGAGGAAGAGCGATATCTTGATCCTCTAATGCCCTGGTCCTACAAACTATATCTTACCGTTGTTTACAATTATACTGGTCCCAGACAAGTTGGCTCCGTCTTTAACGCCAGTACACGTCATGGCACCGGTGGCATCGAAAACGAGATATATAAAAAATCTAGATAATCTGAAAAGACCATGAGATTTGAAATGACCGCTTTTTATTTATATTTTAAAGGGATGTGAGAAAAGCTGAACGCCCAAAACGAATGAAAATAATGAGCTGACGGTGAGAGGTATACCTTGTGCGTATTTTATCAATTTTGTTCGAGACCGTGTAGAGCTTGGGGCATTTCTGAAGGTGACGACTCGGGAATATCACTAATGGTACTGGTACTCGAGGCGAGCTTCGTGTTTCCGGGTTCTAGGTTCGTCTTAGCACCCCGGAGGTCATCGTGGACGAGACTCTTTCCCATTATCCTGTTCCTTATCGCGATCTCCATGCCGGATGAGACGGGAGGGCCTGTGAACTCTGACCCCATCCTCTGTTCGCAGTCGTTCGATGTGACTAATGATTCTTCTCGAGAGTGGCCAAGCAAAGACAGAAAACGAATCCGGGAAGGTTAAAGATGAAGGGTAACGGTGAATTTTCGGTGCGATCGTCCTTCGGTGCCGATCGCTAGAAAATCAATCCTGCACGTGCAAGAGGAGCCTCGGTTAGGAAGCAGTCGTCCTCTCCCCCTTCCTGTAATTTGAGATTGGGTTATAAGTGACGGAGTTCTCTAAACGAGCGTCCCGATGGATTTGTTCTTTTGGCTCCTGCAAGGAGAGAGAGGATCAGGAGGAACGGTTGTGCTGACTTGGCTCGAGTCTGATAGAGAAAGTAAATGGTTATGGTGAAAATGAGGCAGGACTGCATGGCCCTTGAATTGATAATGTGAAACGGTTTCTATTCCGAGCCTTCGTTAGGATAAGTAAAAAGCAAATCGTCCTGTCGGAGAACAGATTGGCATGCTGGCGATAGAGGACTAGGTACATCGCGATTTTTTTTTCATGTTTGACCAAAATGTAGCTTAAATGTTGCCGTTTTCCTTGAGGCTGCTCGAGAATGAGTGCTTTAATTCTCTGTCGTGGATTCCATGTGCAGGCTTGGTATCTGCTTTTGACTTTGACGTAACACTCCGTGTTCAGCGTGACTCGCGAGAATCTTCTTCGACCTGCGTTATCACTGCTGTTATTCCGGAACTTTGTTATGTCATGTGTGAGAGGAAAAATTTGAAGGGCTCTGTTATCCGCCTTTGCCCTTGTGAATGTCGTCTGTGTGATCGTGCTCGACTTGACACGTGGAGGAATCGACGTGAAGAGCAACGCAAGGGACTGGAATAGTCCGATAAGCAAAATTAGAACGTTGAGAACTGAGGAAAGAAAGAGAGAAACCGGGTTGTCGGGATGCGGGCTGGAGGCTTGGTTCTGTGACGCGTGACGATCGCGGAAAATGGCGAGTGGGGGGGGGGGGGGGGAAAAAAAAGAAGAGGAACCGGCTTCAGGGCAAGGTCATCCCTCTTAGGAGGGAAGACAAACTGGTCCAACTATGCAGGCTTCCATTTTAAGCCTAGAACCGGGAGTGGAATGGAGGGGTTGCTCCCGGACGTCGAATGAATAGGAGGGGAAAGAGGGAAAGACCGGGTTTAAGAGGGAGGGAAAAAGTTCTTTGGGAGCTATAAACGGATTCAGGTAGCCAAGGGCGTGAGAGTTTGGGGATAGCAGAAAAGGATATGGGACGGCATTGATTTTTGCCTTGTTGACGGAAGCGGTTGAAGGTCGGAATGAGGAAGCCCTCCAGTCCTTTTCCTGTCTAACTGGAGATCCTTCGGAAGTCGTCCTTCCTTTTCCCCGTCTGCGTCATCGGATTCTCATTTAGATGGGAGGGGCCCCCCCCCCCCTCCAAATGCCCCCCGCATTTGGTCGCGGGGGGAATTGCGTTTGGGATTGGGTCGTCTGACCCTCCCCGACACGGTGGCTGGTTTCCCCGCGCGATGCTCCTTGGGGATGGGGGAGAGTCTGCCTGATGAAAGGACGGACGTCCGTGCAGCCGGTTCATATTGCGCAGTACGTAAGGGGGGGGGGGGGCGATAATACGGAGACATGCCTTCGGGGCCCCGCCTCCACTATTCGCCCTTCCCGTCTGCTCCTACTCTAAAGATAGGTTCGATAAAGTGACTGTTTCCCCCTTGAACACCAAGGTTGCCATGGGAACGACGACGCAGTTCACTCTGCCGTTCATATATATACACACGTATAATGGCGCTAGGAATGTCGACGGATCAAGGCCTGCCCCTCCCCTCCCCTCATGGCCAAGTGCGAATGGCATGGGGAGCGTGTACACTGTAGACATAGGAGAGCTTTATATAGGTATCCTGTTTGCAGGGATAGCACGAAGGCACTATGTTAAGACTCCTCGTTCATTCGCGGGGGGCGAGCCCTTCGATGTTTTATTCAGTCGATGATCGATATGTCAACAGCTGAGACTAGGCCAAGTGAAACCCTTCTGAGAAATCACGTGTGGTGGACCTTTTCTCTTTTGTTTGCAGATCATCGATAAGGTGCCCGGACACAGCCGGAACCGGGTGTTCAAGGAGATAGAGATCTTCCACCACTGCCAGGGCCACTCGAACATCATCCAGCTGATTGAGTACTTTGAGGAAGAGGATCGCTTCTACCTCATCTTTGAAAAGATCACTGGAGGTGAGTTTCCTTTTTCTACGGGAGGAATGTGCTAGCTTTCCTGTGGGATGCTTGGGGTGTCGTTCGGGTCGCGGTGCCCTTGATAGTCTTGCTGGGTGGTATGATGCGGTTCTTGGAGGAATTCTGTCCGTCATTACGGGGGGTATCGGTTTTGCATCCTTCAACTTCGTCCCGCCACTTGAAACCCGGATACGGCGTAGATTTTGCTTTAGGTGCGCCTGTAGTATGCTTGGCCTCGAATATGGAGTGTAGATTCCCAGAAAAAAGAAAAAAGCTGTTATCTTTCCGCGAACGTGACTCCCGAGATTGTATGTGTGCTGTAGAGAAGCCCTAAAAAGTATGATAAGAGAGCTGTTTTTGTCCCTTGGGACGTGATTGGAGTTTATTGCCCCCAATACCTGATATTGGGAAGGACCAATATAGAGGCATTCATATCTAATGAAATTCTGCGAAGGTCGAAGTTTGGACGCGATCGATGGACAGGTTGTTCGACAATAAGGCAATTAAAAAAAATTTCGTAGTTTTTTTTCTAATACGTTTCTCCCCGCAATTTTTCCTGCAGGGCCCCTGTTGGCTCATATCCAGCGTCGCATCCACTTCACAGAGCATGAGGCCAGCCTCATCACCCGGGACTTGGCCTCGGCCCTGGCCTTCCTGCATAAGAAGGGCATTGCCCATCGGGACCTGAAACCTGAGAACGTCCTTTGCCAGAACCCGGACTCCCTCTGCCCCGTCAAGATCTGTGATTTCGACCTGGGTTCTGGCGTCAAGTTCAACTCCACTTATACCTCCTTCGTCTCCACTCCAGAACTTTTGACTCCAGTAAGTTTAAGAGCTCAGTCTTGAGGGCAGCGTACGTATTCTTAGATACTCGGTGGTAAGATACGGGAAGTTAATCGTTGTGTGCTTGGTTGAAATAGGTTGGAAGTGCCGAATACATGGCACCAGAGATCGTCGAGGCCTTTAACGGACGAGGGGAAGCAACTGTATACGACAAGCGCTGTGATCTCTGGTCTCTGGGCGTGATCGCCTACATCCTACTCTGTGGCTATCCCCCGTTCTATGGGAACACGCCGAGGCTGACGCCGACCCTCGCGCCCCTCCGGACGTAGAGGACGGTCCTCTACGACAAGCTCTCGTAGGTCCTGCCGGAGATGCTGAAGGGCCGGTTCCTCACCCCCACCTAGAGCCTTCTTCCCAAAGACTTGATCCGTCATCTCTTGGTCAAGGATCCCAGCCAGCGGCTGTCGGCCGAGGAGGTCCTTCGCCACCCGTGGGTCCAGAATGGAGGTCCTAAGACCCTACTCGACACGCCTCGGAAGAAGCCAAAGACTTGATCCGTCATCTCTTGGTCAAGGATCCCAGCCAGCGGCTGTCGGCCGAGGAGGTCCTTCGCCACCCGTGGGTCCAGAATGGAGGTCCTAAGACCCTACTCGACACGCCTCTTCGCATGAGGAGGTCCGTCTCGTCCCTTTTCCGTCTACTTTCTTTTGTCTTTGAATCGATGGCGGCAGGGACTTCCTTGGAAATCGATTCGGTATCGGTTGAATAATGAAGATGTGGAAATACTAGAAATTCGGGTTGTAAATCTGATGTCCTTTGAAACCTTCGAGGGCGAACGAGTAAGTAGTTCTGGTACTGGGCTGGTGAATTATTGATAATGACATGTTGGTCCGGGATGCTATACCGTTAAACGGTGTGTTCGTCTACCTCTGCTCCATTCTCATTATTAGTTTCTACTCTCTTTGGGGGGGAAAAAAATGAAACCAAGACAACGACACCACCAAGAAGTTTCCCCGGAAGAAGTGGGAACAGCTGGTGGTACAATAATTATGAAAGGACTAAAAATGAGTTGCGATTAGAGAGCAACCCGAAAGTCGACGATGAAGCCGGTGCTTAAAGAGGACTTCTCTGCTGCTTTTCATTCATAGACTCCCCCAAGTGCAACCGAAACAAAATAAGATCGATAAGAAGAAAACAAAATCTGATCGAACTGGTTTCCTCTTTCACAGGAACAATAGCGCCCGGGAGCTGTCCGCCTTCGCCGGGGATGCGATGCACTTAAACCGTGTCATCCATCATCACTACAGCGTGGCTGCCATGATCGACCAGGTGGCCTTGTGCGAGGTGGACGAAGACCATCCGGAGAAGTACGACGCGGACGACGAGGACGGCCCCATCCACATCAACCACATCCCGCGCAACAACAGTCGACAGTTCGGTCCCAAGCTGTCGCCGCCGGGGGCGTCCAAGCTGGCGCAGCGCCGACTCGGCTGCGGGAAGGCGCAGAGTCTCACTCGGGAGCCGTTGGTCGCTTCTCCCTCTGGATAGCTGCCTGGTCCATCGACCCTTTTTTTTCTTTCGCTTTTTCTTTCGGTCGTTCGTCTACAGCTCTGTTCTCGTTCGCTCAGGGACGCTCGGTCGGTCTCTTCTGATGGGTTGCATCCGCTGGATGTTCTCTGGTTTTCTTGTGTCTGGCCGGCTCGGGTAGGTGCGGGGTCGGTCCGAGAAGCTCTGGTGCCAAGTTAGGTCTCTCTGCAGCACGCTTTCCCCCTTTTTCATTTTCCTCTTCTCGTGCTACCGTTCTTGCAATCGTGAAAAAGGAAAAAAAATTCTGTATATACCTGTATAAGCCAAGAGGATTCAGGAAAGTTGGATGGGACTAAACCCGAAAAAAAGATAAGAAAAAAAGAAGATACGAAAAAAAAGCTCTGATGTGTAACTTTTCCTGTTGGTCTCGTAAAGCATCAGGTCGTGACAGAATTCTGTCATTCCGAGGAGAAAAAGCTACAAAAAAAACAGAGGGATTCGGTTTCGGATTCGAGCAGTCTGAGTAGATTTCTTCCCTCAGCACGAAATGGTTGGCATACGAACACACGTTTTTTGGACTGCATCAGTCCCGAGGAAGACGGAAGGGGAACTGAAAAGTGTTTTGCTCAATAATCTCTTGCACGTGGAACATTGTGGGGGCATGGCATCTATCAGCCGTGTTTTTTTTTTTGTTGGGGGGGACGAAGTTCCATTTCCTTCTCTTTATTCTTCTCCCGCTTTTTCTCTCGCTCTATTCCCTCGAGTCTGTGATCCAAGCGGGGTTGGTGTGATGATGATGAAGACCCAGGAGGAACGATGAGGGACACTTACTGCTGCTGCAAAAAAAAATTTTCTTTTTTGAAAAAAAAATTTTTCTACAATTTGCTAGTCTCGAAGAAGAGAGAAGATGGCCTTTGCAGCTCGAGTGTTGTCCGTTCCTCTACCATTTCCATGTTCATAGATTTATTTTTGTCCAGCACATTTTTTTGTCAAACAGGTTTTTTTCCTCCCCCCCCCAAACTTTTTGCCGATTGGATGTGTGGAACGTGTCATGGCGATTCCCATCCCGATTCTCGATTGTGAAAAAGGTTTTTTTTTTTTCTTTTCGTTCCATCATGGAAGTTCCACTTTTCGAAGAGGTTTAAAGAAAAAAAAAAGGAAAAAAAAAAGTATAAAAACTTATTTGGAAGGAGCAGGTCCAGGTTTTTCAGGTGATTGCATTGTCTTTGGTTTGCTTCGTTTGTGTCGAGGAATAACCGTTGAAATAACCGTGATGATGGTGATGAGACCAGACACGAGCCTCTTTTTTGTGGTGAAATGCTGGCAAATGAGAACTCGTCGAATAAAGAGGACACGAAGAAAAAAAAGATACAAAAAAGATGAAATGGTGTTTCAATTTCTACTTCCTTCCCAAGAAAATATCTATCGGAGAAAGTACTGTTCTTGGTACTTGGAGACGAGAGAGAAAAGGACTGGACGAGCAATTAGACGCTTTAATGAAGGTGCCGAGGATGCCATTGGCATCTCGTCGGGCGACCTTATTGGCGTTGATGGTGACGCTTTTCACCTCTGCCCGAAAAAAAGGATTGGATGTGTTGTACGTGACCGTGCCTACGCACACGCGCTGGGACGAGGCACGTGCGGCCGCATTCTGTCGTATATGCGGTTTGCATTGGGGATGCCGTGTGCATTTCCTATGTATTTGCTCTGACCGACGGTCCGGATTCGTCGCGCGAAGGAAAAGCTGTCATCTCGGAGCGGGGCTTCTCCCGCTGTTGCCAGGCGGGAATCTCGTGGCGACGTGAGTTGGGGATCGAGTAGGGGTTGCCGTTCCGGGAGTTTTTTTTTCAGTCAGACCAAGAATGGACGATGCGGGCGTTGCCGGCACTCGGATGTAATGCACGAACAAGAATATATATATGATGTAATCCCATGTGGAGTAAGTAATGGAAGGTGTTCTGCGTTGTTGGCAGAGTGCTCCGCTCTCCCCGACCCGACCCCGTGCCCGGGAGGTCGGCAGCACCGCTCGACGACCCCGCCTCTCGGCCCGGCGGAAGTCCGACCCTCCGAGGGAGAAGGTCGGGCGTGACTCCCGATCGAGTGACGGAACGATCCGTCCCTCGGTGACCGTGTCGGCACGTGTCCTCGCAACCGCAGTCTGTTCGGGACCGGAGCCGAAAAGGCACGAAGCGAGCGAGTGCGCTATTTTTTTTTTTTCGAGTTCCGTTTGGCTTTTGGTTTCTCTCGGGCGAGAACCTTCCTCGTAGCAGTGTTTCACAGGGTCTGACTCCTTCGAGAAGGATCTTCATCGTCCCTCGGCAACGGGGGCCTTTTTGCCTCCCTTCGAGACGCCATCTTCGAATAAAATCATCTTCGGATGTCACGGTCGAGTGGCTGCGACATCGGTCTATTTTTAAAATTACGAATGGAATTGGATTGGATTCTTTCGAGCCGGAACATCACTCGCAATGGCAAATTTGACGGAGGCGGGGGCGGGGGCGGGTGCGGGTCTCCGCCCTTCTGGCGACCCTTGGAAGAATGAATCCCCCCCAGAAATGGATCTTTTTGACCCCTGCGAACCTTTCCTCCGCAACAGGGACCGTGGCCGCCCCCTTTATTTTACCTTGCCCCCATTACACGTAATGCGCCATAGGCATAGGACGGATACAGCTAGCCCCGGTGATTTGAGGTCATGCTGAAACGAGCTCCACCCGTTCGAAGTGCCATCCTCGAATGAGATCGATGGCGTCATCGGTCGCGACTCCAGAATCTTCCGCCCGCATTTCAAAATGGGGTTCGTGCTCGGACTCGTTTTATCGACAGGATCTCGTCCCCATCGTACATCGTGATGAAATTGGATCGAGAATGTCGCTATGGACCCGGTTCCGACTGCATCAGCAAATCGTACGACATCTGACTTCTGTCCTTGTGACATTACTTGTCCGAGTAGCCGCCAGATGGCTCTGCCTTCAAACTTTCCGTCCGATCGAAATGGATCTTTCCAGGCAACGTCCAAGGTTGGCGTCCCATTCTTTAGGATGCCACGAATAAAAAATCGAAACGGAATCGCTCCCAAACCTTCATTTTCCACGTGCCACGTCCCATCTTGTTTGAGGACAAGCGAACTCGGCACCAGAGATCGTCGAGGCCTTTAGCTGATGAGGAGAAGCAACTGCACGAGACAAACGCTGTGATCTCTGGTCTCTGGGCGTGATCGGCTACATCCTACTCTGTGGCTATCCCCCGTTCTACGGGAATTGCGGCTCCGACTGCGGCTGGGAGCGCGGGGAGGCCTGCATCTCCTGCCAGGAGATGCTGTTCGAGAGCATCCAGGACGGCCTCTACGACTTCCCGGCCAAGGAGTGGGGGTGGATCTCGGAAGAAGTCGGAAGAAGCCAAAGACTTGATCCGTCATCTCTTGGTCAAGGATCCCAGCCAGCGGCTGTCGGCCGAGGAGGTCCTTCGCCACCCGTGGGTCCAGAATGGAGGTCCTAAGACCCTACTCGACACGCCGCTTCGCACGAGGTTTTCGCCCTAGGGCAATCGACGCCTCTGATATTCACCTGCCCCGACTGCTCCATTCTCGCCCTTATCGTATTATTTGAAGTATAATGTCCACATTACGTATCCAATCGCTCATTATCAAAAATATCCCTTAAATTGCGGAAGGGAATGCATCGGATGGGAAAGAGGCGGGGGAGGATTCCGTACTGAAAATTGGAGGGGGAATGCGACCGTATTATAATTTCCGGAAATTGTTGACACGGGTCATTCGCCCTTTCGAAATGGCAATGAAAATGTGCGCTCATCGTCAGACTTCCTCGTTCTCTGTTGCTCTAGCCGCAAATCGAAGGACGGGAGCATCGTCAGTCCACTCGAGGGATTTCCCATTCCGCGCATTTTCACCGCATCGCTTTGGTCTTTCCCGACTCAAGATCCTTCGAACCGATGAAACGAGGGGTTTTCCCCGGCGGCTCCAAAATCATCAGATGTTCTTGCTGGCGGAATGGAGGTGCGAAAAACTCGGTAACACGGCAAGAAAAAACTAACCGATATGAAATTTAACAAAGGAGAAATAGACGAGAAAAAGGAGATTTTTATCAGTCAGCCGTGGAGAGTGTTTACCAGTGACGTCATTGGTTCTCGTAGGTGGGTGGGGGGGGGGTGTAGCCCAACATTATCTACTCGGGTGTCGTCCCTTTTCCGAGACCAGCTAGCACACTCTTCGCTTGGTCGCTGTTTTTTTTTCTTTTTAGAAATTCGTCTGGCCTTTTGATTCCCTCGGACTGGAACCTTATTTGCGATTATATATCGTATGGGGACAGGAGGGAGGGGGGGAGGCGGGGGGGCTGCTCTCCGACACCTAGCTATCCTTGCAAAGGTGAAGCCCCCCCAGAATGGATCTCTATGGGCCTTACGAAACTTTCCTCAGCAACGGGGACCGTCGCATTCCCCCTCCCTTTTACCTTGCCCCCATTGGACGGAGTGCGCCTCAGGCATGCGATGGATACGGCACGCCGCTTGGACTCGTGGTCGTGCATGGTATAATGAGCTCCGCCCGATCCAAGCGCCATCTTCCGACGAAATCGACGGAGCCATCGATCACGACTCGGAGAGTCTTCCGTTCGCATTTTTAAAATCGGGGTTCGTGTCAGGACTCGTTTCATTGGCAGGATCTCGTCCCCGTCGAACCTCGTGATGAAATCCCGGCCTTCGGGCCGCGCGAGACTGCGGCCGAATCAGCGAATTCGGCGACATCTCTCTTCTGCCTTGGACCTTTGACTTGAACGAGGAGGAGCCATATGGCGCTTCATTTCGCCCCCCCCCCCCCATTTCGGTGTTAGTGTTACAGAAGAACACTAACACCGAAAAGCTGAAATATCACGTATCCACCGTAGCACTAACACTTATTTCATTGTTACTCCCCCCGTTTCCCTCTATAGTAAATCCTCATTGTCGAAAACGGGGAGAAATTTACTTCAAAGAAAAATGAAAGAAACGTCAGAATGCATTGTCTGCCTGCAGCACTTTAAATCTTAATTTTTTTTTCATTCAAAGGGTTCTTATATCGCGAAACTTCGTGCAAAGTCTTTTTTTCTTCCAATTGAGTTTGGGTTTCGAACTCTCCGTAATAACCGTCATACGAATGAATAATGGTGAAAAGAAAGCTGACCAATGTTTTTAAAAAATGTTTCACACTAAGAAGTCGTCAAACTATATTTTCCTCGATGAACGTAGGTAGCCTCTCGTGTCCTATGTGCCTCAAGTTCCTAGTTTTGATAACGAGGAAAAATTGTTGCTGAAATTGACTGAAGCCTCAATGCAATTTTTATTCGTATGAAAATCTTTATTTTTTTTAATCACTTTAACCCGGTGTTGAGCATTTATGTTTCAATAGCTATTTTGACCTCACGCTCGTCAAATGCTGAAGTCATTTATTGTCATTGGTAGGTCTGTGTGTACGTCACTTACGTCCTTTTCCGAGATGATAGCCCTTAGCGCAGTCCTCTAGGTCGGGGCGAACCGATTCGAAGTACTCGCCCGTGGTTCGTCCCTCGATCCGGCGACCCTCCCTCGTCGCCGACGAGGGCGACCCTCCCTCGTCCGCCGTGTTCCGAGGTTTCGGGATTTTCGGGATCAGAGATGTCGCCTGGGTGTAATCCATCCCATGCCATTCGTTTCTTCATGGAAAATAAGTGGAAGATTCGCGATCGACTGTTCCTGGAGGATGGTGAGTTTTGTCGTCCCGAGGACGATTCCGCCGCGAAGAATTCGCCTCGCTTTGCACCAAGCCCACCGAGGAACCGTCATATCTATTTCAAATACAGGGTGTCCCAAAAGGCATGGAAACATTTCAAAGATTAACATCTCACTAAGTTATGCCTCAAATAAAATGATGAAAACAGTAAAATAAAGTGCAACTCAAACATTTTTCAACCTGCTATTGCAATTCCACACGGGCAACATCTTCTGGATCGTAAACCGGCTTCGGCAATGCAAACCATTCTTGAGATTGAAAACCAGTTTTGGGATCGTAAACCGGTTTCCGTAGACCCTTCCTCGCAAGAGAGGGTCTTCTGCCGTTCAGGTAGGAAAGACTCTGAAACGAAGACGATTTCAGTTCTGCTCGGTGCCATTCGGTGCCGTTGCCATACCTTGTCTTCGAGAGGTCCAATTCCGACGCGAGTCCGCCGCCGAAAAGAAGGCAGCCGACTCACCTTTTTTTGCATAGACTTCATGCAAATCTTCATATTCGCTCGGCGGCGCCTTTCTGCACTCAAGCCCTGGGCCATCTTCGTCGAGAGGAAATTTTTTAATCATGCCGTTCATCTCAGTAGGTCCCGTTCGAGATCGGCGTCTCTTGCATTATTAAATGCTCTTTTCTCCCTCGTTATCGATTGCTTTCGTCTGCCCCATCAGGGTCCCGGTGCGTTATCTTTTTCGGGTGACAGCTTTCATTCCTTAATCGGGTGTATTTTCGGCATTAATGCAATTTCTCAGTTCATGCTCATTGAAAGTGACCCCGCAGAACGGCACCCGATTTGCCGAAAAATCCACATGTGATAGAAACACTGGATGACAATAATAATATTAATAATACGAAATAATTCCAATAAACTTTCATAGGCGATGAAACGGTTTCCATGGTAACCGTTCCATGGAGGCGGTTCGATGGGACCCTGATCGCTCATCGTCAATCGATCTCTCGATCGATCGCTCGATCATCAGCCGAGAAAGTCAGAATGAACGAAGAATCCATCTTTTTGTCTTGAATATTAGAGGCAATGTTTTTTTTTCTGATATTTATTCCCTAAGGGAAATGATAATTGCTTTGTCTTTGACTCACCCTCGGTTTTGGAATTGCAAACCGGTTTCCAGATTTAAAACTGTTTTTTTTTTTTTGGAATGTAATCCGGTACTTGGAGATCCTTAAAAACGGGAGTTTTTATCGTGACATTAATCTCAAGACAGGTCCTGTTCGGGATCGGCCTCTCTTTCATTATTAAATGGCCTTTTCTCTTCGCTGCCGTTGTTGCTGCGAGACTCACTTGGGACCTGGAGCATCTTTTCATTCCCTAATTCCGTGAATTTCTAGGAAATAATGAAAAATTTAGTTCTTACTCATACGATGGCCCGCAGAAGGGCATCCGATTTATTGTCGTCTTTTGAAGTGCACGTGATCCAAGCACGGCATGATCATTATAAAATTGTAATACAAATAATATGAGATTATAATCATTGAGGGTAAGTTCAACTGACCGTTTCTCCCGATGCTGCATTTTAAAACAATACGTTAGTGTTTGTTTTTGCATTTTACGCAATTTTGCATTTTACGCAATAACGAATTTTACCCTTTTAGACCGTTTACAATTTTTTGATAGTACAAACATTAATAAGTACGATTTGCCATCGAATGCATCCAGAAGATGCCATACTTCTGAAGTGAATGTCACCCCATTTCCACGAGTGAATTGACTGGAGAGGAAACCGGAAGAAATAAGAAATCGACTTTAAACGAAAATTCGCATCGCCATCTGCGATTCTGGTTATCCGGCGTTCAATTGGGACCTGGAACCAACGTACCTTCTACGGAAGTTGGGGCGTCCACTACTACGAGTGTTTCACGCTGAACCTCCGGACCCCGATGGAAAGCGGCCGACCGGTCTGCAACGGACAAAGCTTCGACATGAGGAACGCCTTCGTCCTCCGCTTCGACGAGATGCTGCCGTTTGGATTCATCCGTCCGGAGGCCGACGTCGAGGTCTACATCCGCGAGCAGGAGGAGCCGTATTCGGATCTCCCCGTTTTCGTCGCATTTCAACTGATCCTGGACAACGTGTCCGTCATGGAGCTCCTTGTCTCCTTTAGTGTCTCAGAATTCCAGGACGGGCAATCGTCTCCATGCGACGTCGATCCGAAACACAGCTATATAAGAGTGAGGCTATCGGTTTGCGATCCATCCTGATCAGTGAAAGAAATTGATCAACTATTTAAATATTTTAATATTTTCCATTTTCCTTTTCCTTAGTTCCTGGAGGAATGTTTCTTCGAAAATTTGTTGGCGGTCGATCGAACAAAATGCGTGGTGAAGCGACTCCTTCCTCCGTGGATGGAGCCGCCGATCGGGAAGCCGAATTGCACGTGGAAGGATTCCGTCGATATGCTGAATATTCGCTAATCAGAGAATTCGAGCAGAATTTGCTAATGAATTTTTAATCGAGACTTCTATATGCCATTCAGCAGCCTTGACTTTATGTTTCCCTTATTCGCAAATAATGTTCGGCCTGTCCAATTTGTGGATTCATGTGAGATTTTTCCTGGTGAAATGCTCTGAAAACCTTTCGAAAGGCGCGATGGGCCTGGCGTCTCTTCCCTTATTCAAAACTCCTCTCTTTCACTAGGCCTACGATTCGTTGACCATGACCATCTGGTTATGCAAACTGGTTAAATTTCTGGCCGGACACGAGCACAAGTTACGATAAGGAATTAATTTT